CAACGCCACTTTCAATCCACCGTTCGCCACCACCATTCTCTTCTCCGTTCATCATGATCATTCTTCCTTTGTCAGGCCTTCTGCTGCTATACTCCTGGGATCACAACAAGAGGGCTATGATTACTGTTGAAGGTATTTGGCCACCAGGATGAGTCGATCATGGCTAGCTTCTTAGTATACCTTGGTGACTATGCTGCCAATCAACAACCTGAGAGATGAAATAGTCATTTCACTCGAATCTGGCAGTATTATTGTGGTGGCCCGCATCGTGTTATTGACAATTCGTCTAATGTCCATGGAATCTGAGCTGAGCGTAAAATGTTTGGCAATCTTACCTCTGAAGGTTATTGGAAAGAATAATACCTTCGGTAGAATTCAAAAAAAATAGTAATGGAGGTAAAATACGAGCAATGTTACAGTTGAGCGCAAGAGAAACAATGGGTGTCAAAAATTATGTCAAAACTACGTTACCTCCGACGTCCAAATATATAGAAGAAATTCTCCGACAGTCATATAGATTGAATATTCCTTTGGACAATCAAATAACGATAATATAACTCCCAAAGATCAGATGGAAAGAATAAAGCCTCCTGCGGTTATATAATTGTAATTAACCGTCCGACAGATGAAAAACCTAGCATAGTGTCTCCGACGATCATAATGTTATCAAGAATACCTCCGACGGTTATACATTAGAAGAGTGCCTTCGATGTCATAAAAAAATAGAATATGCCATCGACGTTCAATTAAGTAGCATCGTACCTCCGACGGTCATATAACCAGAATATGCCTTCGAAGGTCATTCGGAGAAAATATTACCTCCTACGATGTTATCAGGAGAACATTACCGTTGAGGGTTATTTGGAGAGAATATTACCTTGAACGTAGTAGCCGAAGCAGATGACAAACAACATCGGTCTGATCCAAGCCAGGTGTCAGCCAGTATGTCGCCACTAATGACACGTGCGCGCAACGAGCGCTGAGCAGGTAGTCAGCATAGACATATGTTGTAGTATGTTAGCCGGCTTAATTCACAGCAGATGCTATCACAAGCTTCTGGTTTTTCTATATAGCTTTCATTTACATTCAACGTAGCGGTACAGAAATTGCTGCACTTTTTCACGCAAACGTCTACATGACGCTCCAGAGCGCGTGTCGATACTGTTAGCAGTGCGATAGGTGGTGGTGTCAAGTACGTCCATTATTATGATAACTAACGACTGATAAGTGTGACAAGAAGTACGGCCCGGGTATCGGGTCGACAACTAAAGGGCTCCGTAGAGCCAGGGGCGACGGCAACGAGGTCAGAGACCCTCCTACCGAAGCCAACTACGAGTCAATCATGACCGCTGGCGCGACCAAGTAGACTGGGGACATGCGTACCGCCGGAGCGGCAGCACGGACAACGCGGGTATGCTGCCATATAAGGCAACAAACCCCTTTAGGACCGCTTGCGCGGCCCCCGACGTGGAGTAAGAACACCGAAGTGACTGCGTGGCGTGGAGAACGCCAACCCGCCATATATCTCTCCGAGGAGCTCAACCATCTGCGATGGTGGCTCCCTTCAGCCGCTTGCGCGGCCCCCGACGTGGAGTGCGATCTCCGAAGTGACTGCGTGGCGTGGAGAACGCCAACCCGCCGTATATCTCTCCGAGGAGCTCAACCATCTGCGATGGTGGCTCCCTTCAGCCGCTTGCGCGGCCCCCAACGTGGAGTGCGATCACCGAAGTGACTGCGTGGCGTGGAGAACGCCAACCCGCCGTATATCTCTCCGAGGAGCTCAACCATCTGCGATGGTGGCCCCTTCAGCCGCTCGCGCGGCCCCTTGACGTGGAGTGTGCGCTCGCCGCAGCGGCGACACGTGGCGCGGGGTACGCCTCCAGTCCGTAAAACCCCTGCTAGGGCCGCTTGCGCGACCCGTCGGTCTCCTACGCCCACTCCCGCGACTGCGAGTGCAGCGTGCCCGCGTCAGATCTTCGACCACGTCGGCTCCCCAAGGGGAGGATTCCCTCCGACTTGACTGCCCCGAAGGGAAAAAGACTGGCTTGAGCTGAACCGTGAAAATTTGGGAATTAGCAGTGCGATAGGTCACGATGTCAGGAGAAGCGGAGCGTGCCCTGTCACATCACGGAGGTATTCTCGGAAGATGAAATGATTACAGGCGAGAGCTATGAAGAGTGTCTCACGCATTTCCACAGTCTACGCAATCACTTTTACATTCTCCGACATCAATGACGTCAGCAGCAAATGCGATATTCTGTTCTATGGTCTGCGAAAGCGTAAGACCGGTCCTGTAGGGGGTCGATACAAGGGCAAGAGCAGAAAAGGGAGCCAAACGTTCCTTGTCGGACGGTTGACAGTACTTGCCAGGACGCCCCGTCCGTACTCGTAGATTGCAGTGCACAAGCAGAGCTTCAGGTAACTCCGAGCTGCTATGTAAGTTGAGCAGACACAAGTCACGGAATAATGATCACTACATGCCGCTGCGTCGAACGGGATGCAGTTCGTTCAGCCGAAGCACCGATTGGTTCCCATGACAATCATTGACGTGCCGTCCGCATGAATCTTGCACATGCGCATTGTGAGAGAGATTCATGACTATCTGTCACACACGATGGCAGTGCGCTAGAAGTCTGAAATCTTCTAAGCCGAGAATACAGCGCCGGTCGCGGCGGTGGTTCATGGTACCCCTCTCGTGGTAGCGAAACCCCGCTGGCCTCAAGAGTAAAAAGTTCAAGGGAGGCATGTAATCTAGCCCCTTGAAGCACTGTCGCCGCCCCTCGATGTTCACGCATAGCCAAGGCCGTTAATTGACGGACGCCCGTAGTCCAGAAACGGACGACACTTTGAGCCGTCGTAGACTGCACGCCCCTAAACACTGCAGCGTTGCGCTCGCTCCCTAAGTGCGTAATGCAAATGGAACACATCAAAAACCAAATCCGTCGCCACACCAATTCGCCCGCTGCGGCATCATCTTGAAACCGCTCGAGCAACCGAAACCGCTGAAGCACCGGGATCGCCGGAGCCTGACGATTCGCACAGTTGCCGAGACAACTATCTACAACTGCACTCGACACAAAAGCGCCAGTCCAATGGCTGAGGAATTTTCCCCAGCACGCTCGCGCCTTCTGGCAATCCCAAAAAACGTGCCTCGACGTTTCGGGCATCCCGTGACACGCAGGCAGGGCCCGGCAGCTAGTGTCTGTAGCACGCCCGGCGTGGAAAAAATTAAGCTGCTTGGTGGCGACGCGATACACCGTCCAAACTTGAAAGTCGGAGAGTCCGGTGTCATGTTTCCAAAGTTGGGATCGTTGCTGATGCGCCGCCGCCCGTTGCCACGAATCCTCGCGAATGAAAGCATCTAGCCGCTCCAATAATGGTAGTAAAGGTCGGGTTAGCCGGCGGTTGTGCAGCGAAAAAGCCCGATGCAAAATAGCCCGACGTAGAGATCCGTAAGGAACCGTTCGGGGTACTCCCCACGCGAAGCGGTGGTGACTTGGGTGGGCGTAAAAGACCACTCCGCTGCACATGCGCAATGTTAGCACGAATGGCGAGTCATCTGTGCTATATTTGTGACAACAGGCGCAGCCCTGTGTTTGTGGCTGTGCGAGCTGAAATGCGCAAGCGACAGATTACGATATAACGAACGAGCGAACTTTACGTCAGCAGCACTGTAAGTTTGTTGTCGCATCGTCACGCCTTCGTTTGTGTGGTGTCCCTGCAAAGACAACACAGCTGGCTTCAGCTATCCGGTAGCCGATACTCACAATAGCTAGGATGCATTCACATGCTCTTGTCTAGTGACCTCAGTAAGGGGTGCGAGGAGTCGTGAGATGGAGCGCTTGGTGAGCGATGTACAAGGCAGGCTAGTCGAAACGACTGTGCGTTAGCTGCGAAGCACTTACGTGGTGAGGATAGGCGCGGTATGTTGGGCAAGAAGGCGAAGTGGGATACGAAGTCAACGAGATTGCGCATACTGTGACATCGACACACGAATCGAGCTTGAACATGGGCAGTAGACGCTAGCTGAGTGGCGAAGTCGTCAGGATGATCGACCTTTTCCTGCGCACGAACTGAACTCAGCGTCGGCAGTTAGCCGAAGAAATGGCGAATCATTTGCCGTGCTAATCGATGCGAGGCCAATGCCCAGCAGCGCAATGTCCGTTGCACAAAAGCGACCCCGCCAGGCGTCTTTCCGTGATCCAGAGACGGTAATCTGCCGGAGCTGATGGCTGGTAGCCAGTAGTCAGCCGGGATGTGTTAGTACCCAAGATGAAGACGGATTGCGAAAACTGGGCAGCAACACATTCGTTCGGTGCAAACAATGCGCAGGTGGAGTATCAGGATGAGCTCCTGCCTCTCCTTTACACCCCACGATGATGGTAAACAAGGATCAGTCGCTGTCCGTGTTGACGCTCACTGTTTCGTATAGTCTCGGCTGTCTCGTCCCATTTCGTCCGCTTTCTGCACAGTATCCACTACCAGATGCTATTTCATCGACATTGTGTGGTATTCTGCGACGCAAACGTCAGCGCGAAAAGGAATTGCGTAAGCAAAAGGTGCTCAAACGATCCTATTCGACCACTGGTCGCATTTAGCCGAGATACCGTAATCCAGCCGACGGATGAATCCCTCGTCCAAAAGGCCATTCTATGAGCACCTTCGACCAGTGCGACCACTACGCAATCATTCCACCATCATCGCATCGTTTGAGACAATCAGAGCACTGACCCGTACGCGCCGTTTCGCAGCTCCATGGCGACCGTCATCAAAAGAAAAGACACCGGTAGCTCCCACGACTCAAAGACACTGCCATGCAGACTTCGCGCCACAAAGTCTATCTGCACGCCGCGCGACTTTTCCGGCTGCATCACTCACTTTTCAATTGACGCACTTGCAACAACTTCGACACAGTCACGTGCCATCGGTGGCAGACGACTACAACAGCAGAAGCTCATCACACACTCGGGACCCAGCAGCAGTCGAGAGGGATCAGCGCCATGTCGAGACTTGAAAGGACCGAGTCCAGCGGACCCATGCAAGCCACAATCAGATACGACAACGGCAAGATGCTCATGGCCGAAGGGCCGCAAGCACTGCACGAACACGTTGCGTCTCGCGTGATAGTAGCACTGGGCGGCAACATCCCACAGATGGAAGTGCGCTTCAAAGACGTCTCAATTTCGGCCGACATTGTGGTGAAAGATGAGGCCAATCTCAAGGTCGAGCTGCCCACGCTCCCCAACGAGCTCATGACGAGCCTCCGAAGCTTAGGAACTACGAAGCACTCGGTCAAGAAGCACATCCTCAAGAACATCAGCGGCGTGTTCAAGCCAGGCACCATCACACTGGTGCTCGGCCAGCCGGGATCTGGCAAGTCGTCGCTCATGAAACTCCTCAGCGGCCGCTTCCCGAACAACAAGAACGTCACAATCGAGGGCGAAGTGACGTACAACGGCACACCAGCCAACGAGCTGCTCAGACGTCTGCCGCAGTTCGTGTCCTACGTGACTCAGCGAGACAAGCACTATCCGTCCCTTACGGTCAAAGAGACGCTCGAGTTCGCGCACGCCTGTTGCGGTGGCGGGCTCTCCGAGCGTGACGAGCAGCACCTTATCAACGGCTCGCCCGAGGAGAACAAGGCCGCGCTGGAGGCTGCGAGGGCCATGTGCAAGCACTACCCAGACATCGTCATCCAGCAGCTCGGACTCGACAACTGTCAGAACACCATCGTGGGTGACGCCATGATCCGCGGTGTGTCTGGCGGAGAACGCAAGCGCGTGACAACGGGCGAGATGGAGTTCGGCAACAAGTACGTTATGATGATGGACGAGATCAGCACGGGACTCGACAGCGCCGCGACGTTCGACATTATCACGACCCAGCGCAGCATTGCCAAGAAGTTCCGCAAGACGATCGTGATTTCGCTGCTGCAGCCGTCGCCTGAAGTCTTTCAGCTCTTTGACGATGTCGTGATCTTGAACGAGGGCTACGAGATGTACCACGGACCGAGGGCTGAGGCACTGAGTTACTTCGAAAGCTTGGGCTTCAAGTGTCCGCCTCATCGTGACGTGGCCGACTTCTTGCTGGATCTTGGCACGGACATGCAAGCGCAGTACGAAGTGGAATCTGCTCGACGTAGTTCGGTCCCGCGGTGGGCGAGCGAGTATGCTGAGATGTTTACACGGTCAGTGATTTACAAGCGTATGATGGACGAGCTGCATGGCCAGGTTCATCCGAATCTGATCAAAGACATGACAGAGCATATCAAGCCGATCCCGGAGTTTCACCAAAACTTTTGGGATAGCACGATGGCTGTGGTGCTTCGTCAGATCAAGCTGACGTCGCGAGATGCTGCATTCCTCGCGGGTCGCTCTATCATGGTTATTTTGATGGGGCTGCTGTACTCAAGTGTCTTCTTCCAGTTTGACGAGACAAACGCACAGCTGGTCATGGGCATCATCTTCAACTGTGTCATGTTTGTATCGCTCGGACAGCAAGCTCAAATACCAATGTTCATGGCGGCCCGAGAAGTGTTCTACAAGCAGCGGCGAGCCAACTTCTTCCGGACCGCGTCCTTCGTGCTCTCCACTTCAGTGAGTCAGCTTCCGTTGGGTCTGGCCGAATGTCTGGTGTTTGGCTCGATCGTCTACTGGATGTGCGGCTACGTGTCGACTGTCGGTGCCTTCCTCCTATTCGAGCTCATGCTCTTTTTGACAAACCTGGCGATGGCGGCCTGGTTTTTCTTCTTGTCATGCGCTTCGCCCAACCTGAACGTGGCCAATCCGGTGTCCATCGTTTCCATCCTGTTCTTCATCCTGTTTGCTGGCTTCGTCATCACAAAGGAACAGATCCCGGATTACCTCATTTGGATCTACTGGATCAACCCCATGGCCTGGGGTGTTCGTGCGCTTGCGGTGAACCAATACACAGACTCCAGCTTCGAAACCTGCATTTACGACGGCGTCGATTACTGCGCCACCTACAACAAGACCATGGGCAAATACTCGTTGGAAACGTTTGAGGTGCCTTCCGACAAGTTCTGGTTGTGGTACGGCATGGCTTTCATGGCTGTCACGTACGTCCTGTGTATGATCTTGTCATACATTTCGCTGGAGTATCATCGATTCGAGAGTCCCGAGAACGTGGCGCTGGACACGGAAGCCCAAACGAACGTGGCTGATGAGTACGGTTTGGTTCAGACACCACGCGGCTTCGAAGAACGAGGTGAAGCATTGGTGTCAGTAGCTCCCGGCGGAGAAAAGCAGTTCATCCCTATCACCATCGCTTTCAAGGACCTTCGGTACAGCGTGCCGGACCCGGCCAACCCGAAAGGAACAATTGACCTGCTCAAAGGTATCACTGGCTACGCGAGCCCAGGTACCATCACGGCACTCATGGGATCGTCGGGTGCCGGCAAGACGACGTTGATGGATGTCATTGCTGGACGCAAAACGGGAGGAACGATCGGTGGCCATATCCTGCTCAACGGCGTTCCTGCCACCGACCTCGCCATCCGACGCTCGACTGGGTACTGCGAGCAAATGGACATCCACTGTGAGTCGGCAACATTCCGCGAGGCGCTCACGTTCAGTGCATTTCTCCGCCAAGGCGCTGACGTTCCGGACAGCCAGAAGTACGACTCGGTGAATGAATGCCTGGAGCTGCTCGACCTGCACCCGATTGCTGATCAGATCGTCCGCGGCAGTTCTGTGGAGCAGATGAAGCGACTGACGATCGGTGTGGAGCTGGCGGCTCAGCCCAGTGTGCTTTTCCTAGACGAGCCCACGAGCGGACTGGATGCGCGTTCCGCCAAGCTCATCATGGACGGCGTGCGCAAGGTGGCGAACACGGGTCGGACCATTGTGTGCACGATCCATCAGCCTTCGACGGAAGTTTTCGGCGTGTTCGACAGTCTGCTACTGCTGAAGCGCGGCGGTGAGACGGTGTTCGCGGGTGAGCTGGGTGAAAACGCGTGCAAGATGATTGCGTACTTTGAGTCCATCGATGGTGTGGAGAAGCTGCCGGACAACTACAACGCGGCAACGTGGATGTTGGAGGTGATTGGTGCGGGCGTGGGCAACAGCAACGGTGCCAAGGACTTTGTGAAGGTCTTCCAGGAGAGCAGACAGTTTGAGATTCTGCAGGCAAATATGGACCGTGATGGTGTGACTCGACCGTCGGCGGACTTGCCTGAACTGATCTTCACGGACAAGCGCGCTGCGACGGAGATGGTCCAGATGACGATGCTGATGCAGCGCTTCATCCGCATGTACTGGCGCACACCGTCGTACAACCTCACCCGCTTCGGTCTCTTCTTCATCCTTGGTCTTGTTTTCGGCATCACGTACGTCGACTCGGAGTACACGTCGTACACTGGCATCAACTCGGGCTTGGGCATGCTGTTTTGCGTGACAAGTTTCTTGGGATTCATCGCGTTCAGCAGCGTCATTCCAGTTGCGTCCGAGGACCGGTTATCGTTCTACCGCGAGCGCGCGTCTCAGACGTACAACGCACTGTGGTATTTCGTGGCGTCGACACTGGTGGAGATCCCGTACGTCTTCATCGGCACGATGTTCTTCATGGCTCCGTACTTTCCAATGGTTGGCTTTACCGGCGCGGCCACCTTCTTCGCCTTCTGGCTGCATCTGTCCATGCACTTGCTGTGGCAGACTTACTTCGGCCAGCTGATGTCGTATTTGCTGCCGACGGTCGAAGTTGCTTCGATCTTCGGGGTGCTACTGCAGACCATTTGCTTCTTGTTCTGCGGCTTCAACCCGCCTGGAAATTCAATCCCGAGCGGCTACGAGTGGCTGTACCACATCACGCCGCACAAGTACTCGTTGGCTCTGGTTGCGTCGCTCGTGTTTGGTGACTGTCCAAGTGACGGTGATGGCTCGGAAGACGGGTGCCAGGTCTTGACGGGCGTCCCTCCTTCCCTCCCTGCAACCCTGACGGTGAAGGGGTATCTGGAGAGTGTCTTTCTGATGAAGCACAGCGAGATCTACGAGAATTTTGGGATCACTTTGGGCTTCATTGTGCTCTTCTGTCTGCTGGCGCTGCTGACTCTGCGCTTCGTCAACCACCAGAAGAAATAGCGAAGAGTGACCAGAATTTTGCATAATCCGTAAACTTTATGTGTTTCACTTCTTCTTCTTCTTCTTCTTCTTCTTCTTCTGCTACTTGAGCTTGATTGTATGTTGCCCTGGTCATCGGCGCAACGATTGTTCTTATGAGCATATTTTGCTCGCGAGATCCACATGTAAAATCTTACGTGACATCGAAATGTTTCGAGTCAAGGGGCATACGATGGTCGAAAGGCAATGACGTCATGCAGTTGCTGCCGTCTTTTATTTGTCTTTTGCAAGAATATGCGTACACACCGCACCATTATTCGGCACCCCACCCTAGTACAGCTCCCGTTGTTTGATTCTGCACACACACACCGTAATTTATTTGCCCTCACATTGCAATATAGCGCTCTCCCATGATTCTGTCACTCTGAACTAGGTACCGCGAAAATATGGTGAAAAGCTTTTTTAGTACAGCTCACGATTCTTCTGCCACAGTTTACGGCACAGAACAGCAAAAAGGTCTCCTAATCAAGCAAGGCTTATCTGTTCAGCTCCAGTTTTCTATCTTTCGTAAGCTCATCGTACTTACAAGGAACTGCCACGTGCGTTCCAATTGCAGAATTGATTTGACACAAATACTATGACACGCGGTACATACTCGCAACGACATCGGATAATTGTTGCCAAGGAACGACAAGAAGCTATATGCAAGCTAGGAACCTAACGCACGCCTTCCAATGTTGCCTCTGTCATCCCAGAAGGGAAATGACTACAAATTAATTCATGGTGGAAATGGTTTTTTCGAGCTTTCAGTAGCAAAACACGGGTCTCCACACCGACCGAACAAAGTGAGCACGTACACATATGGTGAGGAGCACTGCTAACGATGACATGTTGCACCGCTTGCAGGAGACGAGTGAAATGCGATCGCTGTTCACGATTGACATTGATATAGGCTGTTCCTGTCGAAAGCGGAAATCACGGGCGCTAGAAATCTTTCGATCGGGCACGCTTCACTGAGTAGCCTTTCAGTCACAAGTGTGCAAAGAAAGCATGTTCAGCTGCCTCGAGAGACGGATATATTCCTCGTTGTGGTTGCCTCACCATACGCAAGTGGGGTTGAAGTAGTACCAAGTTACAGTAGAACGGCCATAATGTATGTGAGTTGCAGAAAGGTAAAACAAGAAATAAATCCTCCATCTTTCGTTGTGTCTTTACCCCTTACATCAAAATTTGCTGATTGAAGTCCTTTCCGTACTTGTATGCCGTAGGATGTTGGACAGCTCGCCACAGAAATTAACTAGTAACATCGTATCATGGGAAAAGACAAAATTACGGGTTATTTGTCGCAAATGAAGGAGATTTTAGTATGGAGTGTGTGGCTTGCAAGTGCACAGTGTGTAGCGCAGATCTTCTCTATTTTTCGGGAGCGGCAGCAAGTGTAAGTCTGTTTCAAGCTCCTGGACTGACAGTCGTTGGATGTAGGTTTTACCAGGTAACAGAAGCTTGCAGTTAAGCGATTCTACCAATGTAAATGGGAAGGTCGGGATACGACATGATGTAGGAGTTTGGGAAGGGTATCCGGTACAGTTTCGTATCGTTTGGGATAAGTTCTACCGAATCTGCTGTGATCGATCCAGCCAAATATAGAATGAACGTCAAGATACATACAAAGTTCATCCAATTGTTCTCTCCCATTGATCTACTAACCTTCGGCGAACAATCAAACTTGCATTGCCAAGCTCATTCCTCGATCGTTGCGTTATAAGCTAGGGCTTTTAGCCAGGACGCGTGATACAAATTTTGAGACGGGTGATTCGACACATCGACTCGTAGCAGCATTGTAGGATACGTGCCAAACACTATTGTCAACAGTGTCAAGATGGTCGGAAGAAAATCTAACTCATACTACAAGTCTAGGGTGGATTGAGCGCTGGATGCATTGCGGATGTTAAGTTGGACATCACGGAGATCTCGAGGGCATCCCGGTGACTTTTCGTAGATGCGCTGAGCAGGGAACATACATCACGGACGTAGTCGAACTTCTAGATCCTGGCAAACACTTCTGCGTCGAGTGCCGCTTTATGTTCGCTTCACTCCTGAATCCCGTCATCCACAGACTTCGAATCTCTGCCCGAACCTCGTCTTTGGTCTGTCCCAGCTTAGCACTCTCATTATCTCCAGTATGATAAAGGCGCTCCAAGTTCTTCATATGGTGTCGGACAAGCACTGTTTAACTCGAGCTCTCATCTCCAACTCACTCACTGCCTTCTACGTTAGCTACATGACTACAGCTTCCTCATTTATCTCACCGCATGGAAAACGTATGTGCCGTGTCTCGCATCTCAACACGTGCTAAAGCATACACTGGCACGGCGGTAGATAGTTTGCCAGCAGTCTGGCGAATAGACATGGTGAGAGAAGAACTGTCGTGTGTTGTTTGTTTTGGCCCAATGGCGTGGTGATGTTCTCTCTGCTGCAAGTCGCAGTTTGACCAAAAGATCGATCACCCTCATGTATATCACCAACATGCCGCTAGGCACTGAAAGCTCCATCAAAGCCGTCACCTATCAGTAAGCGCACTGTACACCAGTACCATTCAGACTGGTAAATCCGGCTACCTCGTTCGATTCTTTTCCGTGCTATCGACAGATCTACGTTATATGAATTGCATGATGTCGAGCAATATTTGCACACATCGCCTTCTATCAGTGTTGTCTGGATTTGTTCGTGTTATATGTTGTATAACGAGCCAGCGGGCCAACACATGGATTACTTCGTGTCAGCATTATGAGTGGTAAGGAGTTCAGTCGCAGTTTGGGAGCCGAGGCATTCCCCAGACTTACCTTGTTGCCGGCCAGCACGACGTTTGCGCTTCGCCCCGTTTATTTCTGCCTGAGTACACTAGCCAAAGAACAGCATAGTTGAAAGACGTTGCAAAGCCAAAAGCTCGAATGAATATTCCCTTCTTTTGCAGAGCAGAATGTAACCGCTAGTCAATCTTAATGCTGCGATATATAGTTACGCTGCTGCTGAGAAATGGACGTGACAAAATATACTTCCGTCAATGCGGGAATCGGAGCGACCGTGCCCCTTCGTGCTCCAAAGTACGTCATTGTTCATGTACGTATTCCAGCAAGTCGTTCACCCTACGCTTGGGACTGATGCGGAGACCTGATCTCTGCAAAATCAGCTGACTTGGGCTGCCTGTTGTGGAACAGCGCCTCAATGTCCTCGAGCATAATGCCCATCGTCTCGGGGCAGAAGAAGAACACGAACACGCCGCAGACGCAGCACAAGCCCGCGAAGAGAAAGAAGACCCCGTTGATGTTCAAATGCGGGAACAGCTTGACGACCTCGGACATGACGGCACCCATGGCCCAGTTGGCGCCCGTGGAAAGAGCGACAGCAGGAGCACGGACTCCGAGTGGAAAGATCTCGGCCGGATAAATCCAGCACACGGGACCCCATGAGATAGCAAAGTTGAACACGAAAAAGGCCGTGCCAACGCAAATGAACCACCCACCGACGGTCGGGCACCCGGCGTCGTCGACGTTGCCGTCACAAATGGCAGTGAACAAAATGGCGGCGAACAAGTGGCCGATTACCATTCCCACAGCGCCAATGAGCAGCAGCTTTCGACGACCCGTAGTATCGACCCAACGCATGGCTGGGATGGTACTGACGAGGTTGACACCAGAGAGGAACAAGGTCGAGTAAATACCGGCTTTGGTGATGTCCTGGAAGATGAGGCCACCGTAGCTCATGATGGGATTGATACCCGTCGCCTGCTGCAGAACTTGAAGCATCATGGCGATGATTACGCGCTTGAAAATGGATGGCTCCAGCAACTCTTTCAGCCCCTTGTCGGCCGCCAGTTCCTCATCGACCTGAGCGCCGATCACTTCGAGCTCGCGGTCGACGTTTTCAGTCTGACGAAGACGTTTGAGAACTTGTTCTGCCTCTTCTTTGCCCTTGTGCAGGTACGTCCAGCGAGGACTCTCGGGTACAAAGAAGATGCCTAACATGACGACAAGAGGAGCGGCCATAGCCACTCCGTTGGTCGTCCGCCAACCACGCTCCCGGTGCTCGACAATGAGGTTGACAACATTGGCCAAGAAAAGACCCGTTACGACAGTCATCTGCATGAAGCCCGAGAGCAGACCACGCAGCTCCTTGGGGGCCATTTCCGCACCAAAGAGCGGCAGTGAGAACGACGAGTTGCCCACGCCGATTCCTTGGATCACTCGAGCAATGTACATGAGTCCGTGCTCATGTGCCGGGTTGAAACAGACCCACGAAGTACCGGTACAGAAGATCAAACCGGCCGAGAAGATGGTCCAGCGACGCCCGAGCTTGTCCGCTACAAAGCCGCCCACAAAGGCACCCACGAGACAGCCAAGGTTGTACGTCATGTTGTACCAGACTGTAAAGCCCGTCCACTCGGTCGGCAGCTTGGACGACGCGGACGTGCACTGTTCGTACGTGAAGTTGTGCCAGCCGACGCAGTAGTCGTTGATGAACGAGTCCATGATGAGCACGCCCGACGTCACGCCCTGGTCGTAGCCGAAGAAGAGACCACCGAGCGCGGCAAAGATGCACACGACAATGGCGTAATTACGCGATCCTTCGGTCGGGACATCATCGTCGTCGTTGTGGACGTTCGCAATGACGCCAGCTGCCATATCTGCTGGGGAAGAAGAAGCGTTGGTGCGGAGCGATGACGGTGAAGGGCGCGAAAGGACAGGGAATTGGGGCAGGAGACGGTAAAATGAAGAATGAACGTAGCGATCGGCATCTCGGACTGGACCGGAGGAAGTCGGTGGCGGGCTAAATTTTTCGGAGGAGCTCTATGGCGTGTTCAAGCATCTTGATCCCAAGGTAATGGAGCGAGTCCAGTGTGGATGGACTACAGAAAGACCGGGCTATCTATTGTATAGTGTGGTAAGAGCTGCGGTGTATCGCACAACACTACGACTGGGCTTAGAAGGTACTTGTCCAGCGGTGCACTTGTCCAGCAGGATGGGAATGCGTGCGTCAAGGTCCGGTCTACTTGACTTCGATCCACTATGTGTTCTGACGTCAGCGTCCCATCGCCTCTCTACCAGCTCTTTCAGACAGCAAGGTGGCATCAAAATTCGCTGATTACCACGAGTTAAGCCTGACTAGCTATCAAACTACAGTCCAGAGATCCCAGTGTCATTGCGAATCAAACCAAGGACGTGTTTCCTCGTCGATCGTTTTCGTACTGTACACTTGGAAGGGCCTAAATGTTTCGAGTCTATCCGCTTTGCCACGTGTCAAAAAGTCGCGACGTTCTTGAGATGGTAATAAACACATTGCTTATTCCTACACTGAGTCGCGAAGCCACAGCTCATGAGGGAATTGCCGAGGCGGTTCCCAAGATGGGACATGTGTCGTTGTATCGACATTGCCATCCCGCAGCAAAGACCTGTATACGGGAGGAGTTTACGACGCAGAACAGCGCACTCTCTCTGGGACGAGCCTATCATAATTGTCTCATCGAGTGCATCGATACTGCTGTGCTGAAGTGCTTCTGATCGTGGAGTCGGGTTATTTGATTCAGAGGCTATGTGTGTTGGAAAAAAGCGTAAAGTGCATCTACGATTGCGTCGTGACATCGTAGTAAATGTCACGACACAATCGTAGATGCACTTTGGGCACGTGAGAGTCGCTTCAGTTCACGTGAAACTGTTGGCTGAGGCGGAATAGTTCACCCGTGGCTTGAGTGAGGACCCGTTGTTGCTTGAAGCTGCAGCGTGCCAATCGAACCATCAATTCCCGAGATGGTGTCTATCCTGCTACGCACGTCGTGAGACAAATTTCTTACTTTCAATTAATGTGCTTCGCTAGCAGATGTGACACACATGTGTAAAGGTGTGAGACCGTTACATAAAATTGATACAAATGTATCAATTTTCGGATAATTTACATTAAGATAATATTCATTCAGATAATATTCAATTGACATTACTCGAGAAGAGGTAATGCTGGCAGGACATTACCCCCGAGAGTAATATTCGTGGTTGCTCCACTTCTTGGTTGATGTAGACGCTACATCAACCAAATTAACCACCGGTAACTGCTAGACGCGCGCAATGGGTGGTGAGCAAGAAACCCACATCAGAGATTGTAGTTAAATATAGCTAGATTAAGACAAAGATGGATCATGAAAGAACATAACTAGATTAAATACAGTTCTGCTTTTCCCGTAAACAGAGCTTCCCTAGCTCTGTTTATTTCCTCTCTCTTCCCTAGCTCTGTTCATTTCCTCGCGCTTCCCTAGCTCTGTTCATTTCCTCGCGCTTCCCTAGGTCTGTTCATTTCCTTGCGCATCCCTAGCTCTGTTTATTTCCTCGCGCTTCCTCACGCTACGTGTACGTGACGAGGGAGTACGCAGCCTTGTGTTCTATTATCACAAGGTCTTACCAGTTATCTGGTAAAAGCGTGCACTGTTACAACATGCGTATCCAGCAATGGCAGAGAAACTGGATCGAAGATGTGTTGTTGCGACGCAGTGCCCCTTTTTCAAGCTATAATATGTGGACGAGGTAAGCGTTGCTTTTGTAATGCATTGCAGTTTTAGCTGTTCTTCTCAGGCGCAGAGATGATGGCGAGTTTCTCGATTGGTAGCGCATTCGCTAAGGCCAATTTGGCTTCGCTTAGCACACGCAGCTATCATGACCTTGGCCCATCTGGTGGTGCCAACTCCGCACAAAGTGGAACCTGACCGCCAATAGTGTATTGGCTGTCGGTGCCAATGTAAAATTCGATCTTTTACCTTTTAAGGGCAGCAACTGTGCTCTCGAAGATCAAGAAAGTCGTCAAGTTTGTTAAGATCCGTTAGACTCACCAGCAATTTGCGCACTTTTCTATGCCCTGGACGCTTACCATAACCAAAAATTTGTCGGAGGGAATAGTGAATTGCGAACACTCCCCTTTTTGTTCATACCAATGACCTAGCGTAGTCAAACGAGTTGCCTTATTGTGGTGATATTGACACTCAGTTGATATACTCACTTGAGAACTTCCCATAATCACACCCTTTCTGCTCTACGCTAATTGTCACACATTTGCGCTATTCACATCCTTACCGAAAAATACGTTTGTGCGAAGGATGCGATACTCATTCCGACCTAAATGGATGTAAGGCTTCTGGCATCCGCACGTAGAGATAGCCGGCACTTGTTTGTCGTATTGCACAGTCATAGGCGCCATACGATGGTACGCGTGAACAAAAATAACGCTTTCTTGGTGAGCAGAAATGGTTATTGCTATAACAGTGTTTCATTTACATTTCATGTGTAAAAAGGAACGCATCTTGATGCTTCCCAGTCATCGTAGATAGATCTTGGACCAGTACCGATCCATTTATCGTGTCCTTCCATGTCTATAGATGTCCATTGCACAACGTCAAGATGTTTGCACGGAAACTTCGTCAATCTTCTGAATAGCTGCAAGAATCCGTGCCGTATCGATGCCAAGCAGGTCGTATCTTGATACATTTATCCTGCCTGATAGATAACTTTCGGTTTGCCCGTAGCCGAAATGGTCGGAGTGGCGGCTCAGGATTGTGGGTGCACTACATTCGATCCAGTCGATTACACCGGTGAAATTGCGGTCGTTTGGTCAGCTAGATGAACAGGCGACGTTTTGGCCGGATGTAGAATCAATTAGTTTGGCGTATTTCGGTCCAATTTTGGCAAGTTTCCCAAACAATCTGCACATGAACGGCAGCTCGGTCACATTCGAGGCAACACCTCAAACGTTACCTTTACTCACAATTCTCCTGTGATTAGAGCTAAGACCCTTAAAAAGGGTCGGTTAGGTGACGTGCTAAGTTTTAGCAAACCCGCACATTGCTGCACAGAATGCCCAACCATCAATGGCAGCGATGTTGTCTTGTGTAGTGATGGTGTCGAGGAGGATAGATCGCAGATTAATGGCGCGACCGAGAGAAGAGCGGAGGCCAATGGCGCGCGAAGAAAAGAAAGTGCAATGTTTGCGACGAGAGGGTACTTTTACTGGTTTAGTGAAGAAGTGGCAAATTATAGTACGGCTTTACTGCAGTTCGATGGATGGCTGCCCAGTGGCTGCTTTAAGAACAAATTGAGTTTTTTACCAACAAACATTCCCATTCAATATCACACATATCGAAAAGCACAACATATTTGAACCAATGCGTTTACGAAAATTGATGTCTGGTAAGATACGCACCTCACAAGACCCAATTAATGTGTGCTTTCTCGAATGAAAATGCAAATTTAATATAAAAGGATGTGCACCTTAAGCGGTATTGAGAATGTCTGAGTATCACGAGCGTGGATAGGGGACAGAGAAGAATCATAATATGTTGTCGGAACCGCAGATTGTTTGTAAATCCACATTGATTCACCTTCATGGTTTGGTCATGACCTAGAACTTGACATCGGAGGCCATGCCCTTTCAATCAGGCAATCACTGAACAAAAGAGCAGGTACCGCCTTCATCACCATAATAACTCATAAAAACAGTAGGTAGCAGAGACAAGCATAGGAAAACGCAAAGAATGTAAGGTGTACAAGTACAAAGACCCAAGCCGTCGTCTGCTACATACTTCCAAGCTAATCTTCTTTCAAATTATATCTTGATTCATCGAGTATCTTTACCGGATGTGATGCTTCCAATCTAATTCTTATTGTAAGATTGTGATTGAATAATGCTCTAGTGTGCAAATATTTGGTTTGACGTGTGTAGGGCAAGTCTAAGAAATGAGGATGCAGATAAATATATATGTACCGAGGAACTACGCTTCCCCCTTCTCAAGTAGTGCTTGCATATGAATGTTACTACTAGGTGTTTCGCAGCGCTGATAAGTAGGATGGTATTGACTTATCTGGATACTACGTGTCGGATCATACCTGCAGTTTATATTGTATTCGTACTTTAATCACTATAATGTTACCGTATGCTCTACCATTCTTGAGCGCATGAACCAATCGATCGCGAGCGAAACCATCTACATCTGATATGATGAACCTTATTTTATAATGTTATGAACCACACTTCTAGATACATGTCCTGTCGCCGGAAAATTATCGAGGCAGAAGAAATTCTTATAACGACCAACGTAGGAGGCAGTATGGTGATGATTAGCAATTGGGACGAAGAAGATATGTTGCATGTGTACTCAAGTTTTAAGCTTGATTAAAAACTGTCCATACTTCATATCAAAATATACGCATTCGCGCAAAACCAGAAAAAGGACGTCAGCTTAATGTTTACTTTCTGCAACTTTTTTTACCATCACTTGAATGGATAAATCTATGGAATTCGACAGCTTTACAAGCTCTTTTGGTAGCGTACTATTTTCATTCGTAAAACACTATGCGTCTACAATTACTTTGGAAGAGAAACAATAACTGAAGCAAATGATTCTTACTCCTTGACCTCAGTCTGAAGCTACGCTTTCTTGATGCCGTATGGTATATAATGTACGCCGCAAGCTTTCAACAGCTGCATTACGCGTATGTATATACTCTATGATTTTTATAATGGAGTTTCCCCATTTTCTGACTTTTCAGTAACCACCAGGTTTTAAATTCCTTTTCCATATCACAAGTATTGAATGTCATGGCAAGCATTACCTTTCGGGTACTTTTATAACTATTTTTTCGACAACAGT